CCATTGCTATGTAAAAAAGGCAATAAAATATGTTTAAAACCATAAAAAACCCTACAACAAGATTTACAATAAATGCCCTCAATATCACTTAGTTTTCTAGTACACATGCTCTTTCTTACGGCCTATAGTTCTCCCTTAACTCTAAAGGAACATGGTTACCTCCTTAGTTTAGCTTACCGTTGCCACTGGCATCCTCTGACATTGGATTAATCTCTACCAGTGTGGAGTCGTACTTGAGAAAGATATCATTGTACAGCTTTACAATAATGTCTGCTGCCTAGAATATAAAAGGTCAACAGATTAACTACAGATACAAGATTTTATTTTACCTTATACATTATCAAATTTCTACATCATAATACTGAGAAATCTGAAAACATCTTTTGAGTTACAATCCATGATGGGTATAGCATGCATGCTTAAATTATATACATCAAAAAGGTCTAGTGTACTGTACAGCGCTTTAAATTCGCAAACCCGGCTTCGTCCGCTAGTGACCTCACTCGAAAGAAAATCAAGTGTATTTTTACAAGGACTGCCTAGTTGTTCCATGATAATCTAACTTGAGTTCATTTAAGCTTGCATAACAGCGTGGGGTTATAAATATTTTCAACATGTTGTGATGAGGTCCGTAAAAGTGGTTAACTTTTTCGATAATTCCGCTGCCGTTTAGATTCACAGTTATTAGTCAAAGTGTAAATACAGCGAAATTAAAACCCCCGCGAAATATAACGGCTATACAGTATTTAGTTTACTCTACCTGATCTACACAGTTGGGACTGAAGCCCATAGACACTGCAAGATTGACAGCTAACTCTCTTGTAAGGCCTGTGAAAATGTCCACTGGTTGTTTCAGAATAGCAGTTGGATTTTCTTTTGCTACATCCTCGATGTTCATACCTCCCTGAGAACTCCCCACTAATACAGGGCCCTGCCAACAAAAATTTAAAACAAATTTCAAACACTCTTTATTATACTGTTGAAAACATTTTTTGGAAATGTTTTATAGAAAAAAGAAAAATATTTCATATCTTCTCGATGAAATATACGATAACACAAACGAACAGTTTGATTTATAGTCATAACCTATTGGATAACAAACGGGGAAAAATGATTTATGTTTATTCTTTGAAATTTTCCTTGGGAAATAGTAATTTTATGTTCTTTTTCAGGTATGTCATGATAATCGTTTTTTAAATGTGGATGAGCCCTATTACTTAGACATCATTGGTTCTCAGTTAATGCTGTTGAGTTCAAAAGGACAAGCATAATAACAGGGCACAAATAACTTTTCCCCTGAAAAATCACTAGAAGATAGACAGTATGTTCACTCCTAATTCAACATTTTAAGCAGATATCTGTATTACATAATGAAAATTCAGAACTTACAGCAAAAGACCTCTCCATGGCAATGGCGAAGTAGAACTCCCTCCTTGAGTACAGTCTCTCCGACAACATGACGGTGTCACATTTCCTGCCAAGAGGTGCCTGTTTTGTGATCAGGTTGTACCCTAACATTTGTTCTGAAATTGTCTTGGCTTCCTCGTTTCTGACAAAACACAAAACTTGATTATTTGCCTTATTGTTCCTGACAGCCATAAGAAAATGTAAGAAAAATGGGTGTGGGGTCGGAGTCATATTTATAACATCTCTGTTTTATCAAAGTTAAAATGTATCATATTGATCAGGTTGACAAAAAAAGTTGGAGTTTAGAATATAAAGATTGTATTCAGACTGTATATGAATATATACAAACTGCTAGCACTTTTCACTTTTGATCATGCACCATGTTTAATATTTTAAAATTCTGTTGCACATTGTATAATTGAACTGAATATGCAATAGATTAGTCCATGTAAACTAAAAACAGTT